GGGCACTGGTATAGGCCCTGATGTACTTTTCAATCTTTTTTTTTTTTGTCCTCTTTCCAAAGCACAGTACCAATGTTTATTAATCCTCACAACACCCCTGTGCGGTAGGTCAAGGTCCTTTAGGGGAGAGAACTGAGGCAGAAGTCAAGCAAACCTGCCCAGACCTGCTGGAGGCACAGGGCAGCGGGAAGGGTGGGACCTGAGCAGATGTGGGCCTCGGTCGGGTGCACTCTCAGGCAGACAGCTCAGCAAATCTTCAGACTGGGCGACAGGAAGGACACAACACAGACCTCTCAACAGCATGGGAAGGGTGCATCATGAGACATTAACCAGCGTGTGTGTGAGTGAGAGAATATGCTGAAAAAGGCGGAGTCACAGACGGCAGGAAGACAGACCAGGCAATCTTCACGACAGTCTGGGAAAATGTAAACTAGAAACCCATTCGGGGGTCATCAACCCAAATGCCTGTGGTTTCCAAACAGAAAAGTTAAAAAGGTGGTGGAAAACTCCAACCACTCAGTCAGTCTAACTTTGAACTGGAAATGACAATGATGTTCATTCACATTAGAAAGGCCAATAATATCTGTAATAAAACTACTGGCAACCTGTCAGCGGTAACCTACTTGCACAGCAGCTTTTATCTCAAATATTCTACTTTTCCCTACAGACAAGAGCTCGAGAGCTACCCAGTGGCTCAATGGTGTATCTCATGGTTTCTTGGGTAGCTAGGGACAAAGGCCAGGAGATTATAAATTGTAAGAGATTGCTCCAGTATTTCAGAAATAGCTGTCACCTGCCTCTAACCATTCCCACTTTCTATGGGCAGAGGAACGGTTCATTCTTTTCTAAAGGGATTGCTGAACTGGTTCAGTATTTTTTTTTCATGGAGACAAGGTCTTGCCATGTAGCCCAGGCTGGCCTCAAACTCCCAATGATCCTCCTGCCTCAGCTTCCCAAGTGCTGGAATTATAGGCATGCGCCACGACGGCCACCTCAATGTATCATTTTAAAAGAAACAAGAGAAACGTAAGACCTGCACTGTAAAGCATATCAGAGTAGATTTATTACAGCTACTCCAAATTTTAGAGTGATACGTGACCTCAGAGTTTAAAACTATCACTTATTGCTGGTTATTTTACAATAATTGGTTTAGTCTACAAGTTTAAGGCAAACATACTAATGCATTTGCTTTTCTTCAGAAATCATACTTAGATTACATAAAGTTCTGGCCCAAAACTTTCATGTTGATTAATTAAAAGTAAGTCTGATTAAGATGCTTTACAAAGATACATGAACTAAGAGTATACAGTATAATACTTTTTAAAAATAAAATTACAAAATCAAGAAAGGGCCATCTTTACCTTGTTGGAACAATGTATTTTGAAAAGGTTAAACTTCAGAAATTATTTAAAGGTAAATAAGATTGGCAGCCATAAAGAGTACTATTTATAAAATAAACCCAGTTATCGAGGCTACTTAAAGACTGGACTCTGGGCTGCCAAGTAGGACGGGTATAGGTGAAGGACGCGGTCCAGGGACGCAGCTCAAGGAACGGCACAGTCTGGCACTGCCTGTGCAAAGTTCTGTAGGCTGCTTCTCGGAGGAGGAGAAAGAGGAAGAGCAGGAGGAGATGTACTTTGTCAGCTTTACTTCCGGTGAGCAGAAATGCTTAATGTCATTAGGAAAACAAAAAAAGATCTGAAGGAAGGCAGCCCTTTTTGTCAGGAACTGAAAGTGGTTTATGTGTCTCCATTCAGCACTGCCAGGCAGTTCTGCAGCAACTGGAGGTTACCCTTTGCATATTTCAGTTCTAATTCTGCAAGTTCCACTAAATTTTTTCTGAATGCATCAACTTTTCTTCTCTTAAGATCTGTAAGTTCTAGTTTTGCAGATTCAGATATTTTTTCAAACTTCTGACAACGTAATTGTTGGGAAGTTTCAGCCTGCAGAACATTTTTATTCTTTCCCCTTGCTTTATCCAGTGCTTTATTAGCATTTTCATAATCCACTAGTGACCGAGATCTTCAGTAGAGGAGACCCTTAGCTGCTTGAGATTCTCTTAAGTAATATTTTAAAAGATCAGAAAGTTTGAGGTCTTCATCAGCAGATACTCGTGCTTCTATTTTTCTTGTTTTATCAAACAGTTCTGAAACTTTGAGGAAAAACTTGCATATATCTGTAGAATCCTGAGTTCCTAAAGCATGTAATGAAGATCCAATTCTATTGTAATCTTCTGCAGCACTTCTGTGGGATTTTTGTCATCCTATCAGATTTAGCAGATGCATCCTTAACTCAGTTATGATATTCTAAAAAGGAATGTTCATTCATGCTCAAAGAAATCATCTACATCCTTTACTCCTGAAACAATGATTCCATCTTCTGATTTGACCATGTTTTTAAAGAAATCTTCAAGTTTCTCTTTTTCATTTTTGCCTCGAACACTCAAATCTTGATTATATTCTAAGAAGACATGGAAATTTAAATCTTTCCTCAAAATAGGATGAGCTGCCACATGACACACTTCATGCATCGCCACTGTCTTGAATATTGCCAAATACTCAGCTTCTAGTTCCTGTTTCATCTTTGTGAATTCTTCGTCATTGACCCTTCCCCTTCTCCAAGCTTCTGTAGCTTTTCTCTTGAAGCATCAAAATCAGGCCTTGGTGGTGGTGCTGGTGGAATGATATAACCTGCATAGTCTTCATTTTCAATGAAGGAATCATGAAGCCAGATAAATTCCTCATGTTGTCCAACAACAAAATCATTTTGTTTAAAATTGGGCAATGAACTCTGTATGGGCAGTAAATTTTACTTTGTCCCTCTCAGAGCATCAGAAATGTCCACCTGCAGAGCAGCATCACTTTGAAGATCTACATTTATTGCTTTAAGTCTTCAGTCTTCCTCCGAGAGGAAGTCGGGGTCGTTGTCAAGGCCTTCCATCATGGCTGCTCCGCGTCTTGGGCCAGTGCAGGTGCATACACACAGCCTGTACTTTTCAATCTTGTGTAATGTTTAATTCTTGCAACTAAATCAAAACAATGTTAAATTATGGCAATATTTGTACTTTGGGAATGAGTACATAACTATGATCACACTCTGCAAATGCCACTTTTAAAGCTGTTAATAGACTGCACCTTTTCTTTGACAAGCATGTGTCATTTAAATTTTTACATTCATCCTGCTACAGGTAGAATTGAGGAGGGGGTGTAATTTTTATGGGAATTTTGATATGAAAAGAAACTAGTCACTTATTTATACAATAGGCATGGCTCAAAAAGTGTTTTTCAGACTCAGTATTCAGTTTTTTTTTTTTTTTTTTTTGGTACTGGGGATCGAACTGCGCTTACAAGGCAGGCGGCAGAACCACTGAGATAAATCCCTGGCCAAGACTCAGTAGTCTTAATGTGGGATGTGACTTTAGTAGCAGATTTGGATGTAGACTGACAGACATAACTGAATGTCTTAAATTTAAATTTGAAGATTAAAAAGTTTCAGATTTTTGGAGCATTTTGCATTTTCAGATTAGGGATGCTTAACCTGGATTAATAATAACATTTACGGGCTGGGGATTTAGCTCAGTGGTTCCGGTGCCTGCCTTGCAAGCGCAAGGACCCGAGTACCCCCCAAAATTAATAACAATAATAGCATTTACTATATGCCAAGGATTCCAGTTTAATTCCTGCAACTCTCAGAGATACTCATGAAAAACTTGAGGTTTCAAGTAATCCTATAATTGCTTTCACAGTACTTAGGTAATTGGTGAATTTAGGAGTTGCAGCTAGATGGTCTGATGTTGAAGTCCATGTTTTATCCATGAAAGTAGTTGATACTTTAGTGCACATGAATGTAAGTACAATTTTAGGTATTGGCAAAAAGGAGTTAATAGTCTGTGAAGACTAGCTAGACCTACAACTAAAATATAGTTTTATGAATAACTGAAAACATAAGTCATGTGAAAGAAGTTGGAAAAATTCATCATAGTATTGAATGAATTTATTTTTACTTTGTATGAAAAAAAAATCCAATTGTAACAGCTGTACAAGTCCAGGACTGCTAACTTTAGTAATTTACTCAGCTAAGCAAGTATAGGGTGGAGCACAGTTCTGTAATTTCCTTAGAGTTTGTAGCAATGGACTGAATTATATTTAGTAATTGGGTTAGGAAGAGGGAGAGGTATAGAGGGAGTGTCCATTTTGACTGGAATCACAAACTTGTTTTAGAATGTAAATATATGAGGGTGTTTGTTTTTTATTTTTGGATTTTTTTTTTTTTTTTTATACTGTGAATTGGACGCAGGGCCTAGTGTTTGCCAGGCAGGTGCTGCACCACTGAACTTAAGTCCCCAGACCTATTTTTTATTTTTATTCTTTGTCTATATGATTTCCAATCTAATTTGTATGTGGCTCATAAGATTATATTCATTATTCTTTTTAGTGACTAAGGATTTGTCAGGCATAAGTAAAAATTTGACTTGTTCCCTAAGTTTCCTTGACAAAAAAAAAAAGGAAAGTGTCCCTGTTTTAGCTGGCATTTCCTACAGAAGGAAAGATCTTCCGTATTAGTTTTTTTCTTATTGTAAATTGCAGATTTATTGGCTTTTGTTTTATTTTTGTTTTGAGATAGAGTCCTTGTCTGTGTAGCTCAGGGTGGCCTCAAACTCACAGTGATTCTCCTGCCTTAGCTTCCCAAGTGCTAGGATTCCCGGCATGTGCCATCACACTCAGCTTATTGAAGCTTTAGTTAAGTGCCCTTCTCCAGAATTTGCCACAGAAATAGAAGGAGGAAGTATGTAAATAAGAGTTGGCCAGCTGCAGACTCAGGGAATCTCTTAATTTAGGTACAAGCTGGAGAGGTGCTGCATTCCCCTGAGAGGCACAAGTGGGGCCAGATACGAGAAAGCATAGGTGTCCAGGCTGTGCTATAATCTTATTAAAACTGTGTCTAGTCACTGTATTGGGCCTTGATTATAGACATAATCATTTGTGGGTTTTTTCTTACAGGTACACTCTGGAAATGATAAAACTTGTACCACATAATGAAAGTGCATGGAACTATTTGAAAGGGTAAGAGGTTGTTTTCACTGGATTTATATCAAAAAACAAACAAGCTGCTAATACATGCATCATGGAATATGTTCCATAATCAGATTTAAAGGGATACTAAAGAATTTTTCATGCTTTTGGATCTGAGTAGAAATGTAACAGGGTTATGATAATTCTCAAGAACTATGCCCTCTGTCTAACCACTCTGCACTTCCCGAACACATACCAGCACAGTTTTTAGAACAGCATATAAATAAACAGTAATACATTCTTAATTATATTTATGAATTCTCTAGTTTGTGTGCCAGAGAGTGGAATATACACATTCATGTTCTGCCCAGCTCAGGGGTACGTTGAAGTGTAAGGTAGACTGTTCATAGCAGGCTGTGGAGAGACCCCCAGTTACAAGTTTTACTAATTAAACAGAAAGGCATCGTTGCCTGGCCACTGACATAGTCAGGCTCCCCTTGTTGAACTTAGCCCTTTAGGGAAAAAGTGCAAAGAACAGTGTGGAGCCCAGTCATTTTTGGAGTTGTGCCAGGTCTTGGAGCCTATAGTCCCTTGAGAGTTAGAGGGGAGAAAAACCATCTCAAGAAATGGCTATTCCCCTGCTTTTTTTTTCACTTTTTAATTCTAAGAGGATGATTTATACTGAACTGGGTGGGTCATGCCTATAATCCCAGCACTCTGGGAGGTGGAGGCACCGAGGAACACAAGTTTGAGTCCAGCCCAGGCAACTTGGCAAGACTGTCTCAAAAAAAGTACTAATAATTATAAAAAGGATGTAGCTCAGTGCAAAAGCCCTAGGTTCGGAAAGAGGAAGGGCAGGGGATTTAGCTCAGTGGTGCTGTGCCTGCCTCACAAATGCAAGGTTCTAAGTTTGATCCCTGGTACAAAAAAAAAGAAAAGAATGAGAAAGAGATTTATTTTCTGCTGTAATTTTATGTCTTACACAGTTTGAATTACAAATTCTTACTTTTAGCCCTCATAATTTTTAAAACTAATTTTACTCAGCTCTTAATGATTCACAATAAAGCTCACATAATTTAAAAGTTTCATTTTGTTTCATCCTCATTCATTCAAAATAAGTCTCCTTTTCTAGTTTGTGTTTCAAGGCATACTTCCTCTTTTTCTTTCTACTGTGTTTGTTCGTCCTCTCAAAATTGAGTTTTATTTTCAGGATTTTGCAAGATCGTGGTCTTTCCAAATATCCCAACCTACTAAATCAGTTACTTGATTTACAACCAAGTCACAGTTCCCCTTACCTAATTGCCTTTCTTGTGGATGTCTATGAAGACATGTTAGAAAACCAGTGTGACAACAAGGAAGACATTCTTAATAAAGCATTAGAGGTGAGCTGGTGGGACTTGGAAATTTTCTTTTGGGCATCTCAAAATTGGTCTGCCCCGTGCCACTGGGGTTCACACCCTCTTTCAGTTTGGTTACTGTGGGCTCTTTCTAGTTTAGGGCAACATCTGTGTGGTACTGGAGAACATGGTGGGTGGCTAAGCAATGTGTCTCTGTGAACATCATCTGAGTTAAATGATGTTGTTGCAAAGGCATGTGCCCTTGAGATTGAATCACACATTGACTTCAATAAATTTTTTTTGTTGTCAGTTATGTGAAATCCTGGCTAAAGAAAAGGACACCATAAGAAAGGAATATTGGAGATATATTGGAAGATCCCTTCAAAGTAAACACAGCAGAGAAAATGACCTACCAACAAATGTACAGCAATAACACCATCCAGAAGAACTTGATGGAATGCTTTTACTTTTTTAAGGGACTTCGTAAGAAGGAGTTTAAAACTAGAGTGAACATTCCCTTACCTGTGGTGTAAAAGATGAATCACACGGATACTGATTTTTAACAAGAACTAAGTGTGATGTTCCTTCGGTGTTTGCTGCTGTTACTCATATTTGCTCTGAGAAATTTGATTCTTTTAAAATGAAGTAATTGGAGGGGAGAAGGAATAAAAAAGTCCCATAAAGGAACCACTACTTTTGTAGTCTTACCAACATTTAATCTACTTGCTGTGCATCACCTATCCCCTAAATGGAATTTGCATTCGTAATGACTGCAGGCTACTGTCTGTAGTAGATTTGAGGTGACTAAAGTTTGGTTCAGTAAGTTGGGGGTCCAGTTATCCCATCAGAGCTGCTGTGCCACACTCACAGTATGTAGCTATCACTGTAACCAACTATTGCCAAAACAGTGGTTTTGTAATAAAATTACAGATACATCTAAAAGCAACTACCATGGTAGTTTGATTTTTTAATAGCATTTATATACAAGGGACATTGTCTCAGTATAGGAAAAGAGTTGAAGAAAATATTTGTATGAAACTGAAAACCACAAACAATTACAGTAAAGGAAATATTAACTATGAAAATGTGCATTGTTCTTGACTGCAAGCAAAAGAATGTACTCAAGGTAGTGTAAACCCAATGGATTTATTCAGGTCTGTAGATAGCTCACAGAGTAACTTTAATCTTTTTTTTTTTGGCAACGGGGATCGAACTCAGGACCTTGTGCTTGCAAGGCAGGCGCCGGAATCCCTGAGCTAAATCCCCGGCCCCTACTTTAATCTTCTACAGGTGCATCCCAAAACCATGGTATAGAACTGGGGGTCATTGCTGCTGCTATGCCAGAGTCAGAAAACTGGATGAGGAGTGAGGAAACCATAGCCTGGCTGCCAGCTCCAGGACTGTGCCACTTTTGCCACCTTCCCACAAGCACACCTTATCCTGTGTAACACGGTTCTAAAAGAAAGGCTCACTTTAGTGTTCCTGTTAGTGAAGAACTTGCCGGTTGTATACAACTTAGCTTTCTAGGCTTTTCTGTTAAGTCAGACTAAAGAGTTTTTTGTTTTTGTTATTTTTTTGAGACAGGGTCTTGCTGTATAGCTCAGACTGGCCTTAGACTTGCAGTGATCCTCTTGAGTGCTGGGATCATAGGTGCATGCCACCTCACCTGCTTGTTTTGTTTTGTGGTACTGGGGATTAAACCCGGGGCCTTGAACATACCAGGCAAGTACTCTACCACTGAGTTACATTCTAGCCATCATTTTGAGACAGGGTCTCACTAAATTGTCTAGGCTGGCCTCACATGTGAGGTCCTCCTGCCTTAGCTTCCTGAGTTGCTGGGATTACAGGTATGCACTGCCATGCCAGGCAACAACACCATTTTCTATTTTTTTAAAATGTTACTTTTATAAAAGATTATTTCTGGTCTTTTATATAATGGGTTTATTGCTATATTAGTGAATAAAAATTAAAACATTAATACTGTTAATATCACTGCCAACAGTACCAGTAATCAGTACTACCAGCATACATGCTGGGATTAGAATAGAGCCTCTTATCCTCAGGGAACTCACTTTTTTTTTTTGGTACTGGGGATCGAACTCGGGACCTTGTCCTTATGAGGCAGGCAGCAGAACCACTGAGCTAAATCGCCAGACCAGGGAACTCACTTTTGAAACTAACAGTGCTTCTCACCTCTGTCCATTGCTTGAAGATATCTCAGTATCTTGCCTGTTTGAAGAAACATTTGAAAACACAGAAGTAGAACATGAGCCGCTTGAGTCAGGAGGAGTGCACGAAGGAGGACAAATTTGACTAGTTTTATTCCTTAGTGGGCCCTTAAACTTGGTTTTATAATTGGTTATATCGCAATATGAAATTTAAATTAGTGGAAAAATTCAGAATATTTTCTGAGGAAGTCATATTTTTAAAAATCTTTTTCAGACTGACTTGTAACCCATTAATGGCCAAGTATGTCAATTGATAGGGTTTCAACCAGTTTTGTTTTTTTTTAATGAAGTAGAAAAAAATTTAACTTCTTTGAACTAGGCTTTCATGTTTTATCATCTTTCCTCAAATTGGTTGACTTTGGTTTTCTCGGATATTTTAAAGTAGAAGCATGGCTGGTTGATTCAAGATCTCATTTCCTCATACAAACATTTAATACTATGAATTTCCCTCTCAGATCAGCGTGTGTTGTTCACCCACATATTTATTATGTTTTATTCCTAATGTTGTGAGTTTCCTTCTGACATTTCTTTTTTGTCTGAAGAACTTCGGCAGTTCTTTTAGAGTCGGTCTGCTGGCTGCAGATTCTTACTCTTAGCCAAGTGCAGTAGCACATGTCTGTCTCAGCACTGGTAGGCTGAGGCAGGAAGATCACAAGTTCTAGCCTAGCTTAGGCAAATTAGCAACTTAGCAAGACCCTGTCTCAAAATATAAAAAGGCTGGGGATTAATTCAGTGAGAAAATCCTGAGTTCAATCCCCAGTATCTAAAAGAAAAAAAGCAAGAAAACTTCCTCATTTATCTAAGTGTCTAGGATATTTTCATTGGATATAGAATTCTAGGTTTACAATTTTTTTTCTTTCAGCACTTGAAAAATGTTCATTTTTCTTGGGCTTCATGATTTTAGATGAGAAATTCAATTTAAAATAGTTGTTCGCCTACAGGTCATGTGTCATTTCCTTTTGCTGTTTTCAAAATTTTTTGTCTTTAGTTTTTAACAATTTGATTTTGATGTGTCTGGTTATGGATGTCTTTGGATTTATTCTGTTTGTGGCTTGTTCAATTTTAATCTGTAGGGTTCCCCTCCCAGACTAAACATTTTCAGCCATTATTGCATCAATGTTTTCATTACTTTCTTGTATCTTCTAAGATTGTGTAATCTTTTGTTACGTCCCCTAAGTGCTTGAGGTTAAATTTTTTTTCCTCTGTTGATGAGATGGAATAATTTCTTTCTTTTTTTTTTTTTTTTGGTACTGGGGATCGAACTCGGTACCTTGTACTTGCTAGGCAGGCGGTGGAACCACTGAGCTAAATCCCCGGCCCAGTAAGATTGAATAATTTCTATTAATCTGTCTTCACTCCTCTGTCATCTCCATTCTGCTCTCAGATTATCTGGTGAGTCTTTAATATTTGCTTATATATATTTGTTTTCACTATTACTTTCTATTAACTTGTGTCAAGAGTTTTTACAATTGCTTATTTGAGCATTTCAATACTAATGTCTTTATCAGATCATTCCAGCATCTGTGTCCTTTCATTGCTAATTAATAATTACCTTTCGTGCAAGTTGTGATTCTTGTGATACTTCATATACCTAGTAATTTTGGACTGTATCTTGAGCACTTTGATTATTATAAAACTAATTCTTAAATTGGGCATGGTGGTGCACACCTGTAATCCCAGCACTAGGGAGGCTGAGGAGGACAATTGCTGCAAATTGAAATCCAGCCTGAATTACATACCAAGACCTTGTCTCAAAAAAAAAAAAAATCCCCCCAAAACCAACTCTAATGCTTGTGTAAATCCTGTGGAAAATGGTGATTGTGGGCTGCATTCCAAAGCCAGTTCCGTGTCAAAACTTGCATTAGGCCGGGGATTTAGCTCAGTGGTTCCGCCACCTGCCTTGCAAGTGGCCCAAGGACCCGAGTTCAATCCCCAGTACCAAAAAAACCCCAAACAAAACAACTTGCATTGCTATTTGTATCTGTCATTTGTGCCATCCAGAGTTAGTTTTGGAATTGAACAAAAATCTGCCCATCAGCACAGTTCTCAAAGCTTTTGCAATGCTAAGTGGAATCAGATCTATAATGTGCAAGTCTGTTCAGGTCAGGGTGAGCCCAGGTGTTTTATATTTATGGGATGCTTGCCTGATCCCCTCGCTTTTCACTTTTTCAGCACCTTTTCCTTCTCTGGGGTTCCCCTTTCAGCTCTGGACAGAAACCTCATACTTACAGCTGCACTGTCACTTCCACAGTTGTGCAACAAAGGGAAAATAGAAAACAATGCGGAGTTGGTCTCTGCCCTTTTGGTGCAAGCTCCACTGATTGGAAAAGAAGACCTCCCACAGTTTTGGCTCCTGCAGCTTTTTGTTGAATCTTCTTGCTCCACCATACCATGAATTTTGTGTAGATTGTAAAGATATGTTCCACAGGACAAGAGGGTTTGCATACTTTCAGTCTTAACAGGTGATCCCTTTTATCCTTGAAATCTCTGCTTTATTGGCTTTTACAGGTTCTTTGCTTTCTACAGCTTTGTTTTCTAAGATCAATATTTCTACATGCTCAGACTTGGTTCACTTCTTTTTTCTCTGTTCTCTCTTGGAGAGGTCCTTATTTTGTGCATCACAGTATCCATTGGGCAGGTGATTCCTGTATGTGGGGAATCTGCCTCTCACCAAAGATGGAAGTTTCTGCTGGATGTTAATTTGGATCACCACTCCATTTCAAACTCCAAATTGTCATTTCTTTGCTCACTCTGAAAGTCAGCTGAAACCCTTGTGCAGCAGTTTTGTTAGAACATGATTTTAAGTGTGTTCCTAAGACTCATCCTGTGCAAAACCATGAATAAAAACCACTGGGCTTATGGTAAAAATAGGGTTAGGGAGGGCCAGCGATTTAGCTCAGTGGCACAGCACCTGCCTTGCAAGCTCAAAGTACTGAGTTTAATTCCTGATCCAAAAAAAAACAAAAGGGGGGGGTTAGGGATACAACCATCAAAAACCTATTCAGTCAGAAAAAGATAAAACCCAATCAAAATCACAGTGTAGTTTTACACGTCAATGCTTAAGAAATGTGTAAGTATGATAATGTGGCACATCACCTTGAGAAAGACCCAAAACTTACTTGCAGAAAGCATAAGAAGGTATATGTTTCATGAGTCTCTCATGAAGTTAATCTGAAATTTGAAAGGGGTAACACCAGATGTATGTGGCTCATAACACATGAATGAAAGATGCTGTCATGTTAAGATGTGCATGTGTAATTTTGTGTTCTTAAGCAGCATGGCTCAGCTGGCTGCAGTTTTCTGAATTCACCTGGTGCTCTCAATAAAATTGTACATCATGAGCTGGGGGTAGTAGCCCACACCTGTAACCCCAGCACTGGAGAGGCCGAGGCCAGCCTGGGCTACAGTGGTGAGACCTTGTCTCCAAAATCCCCCCAAAAGGCCAGGCCTGATCGTACACTCCTGTAATTCCAGCACTCAAGAGGCTAAGGCAAGAGCATCTCTGAGTTTGAGGCCAGCCTGAACTACATATACATAGTGAGACCCTTTCTCAAAACAAAAAAAATTACACATCAATAGATGGGAAATTTATGTTATGCTTACTATTTCCTCTATCAAAATAAATTGCATTTTGAAAAGTGTCACAACTGACAGCACCTAAGTTTACTCATTTCTTCAATCTGTATCTAGCAAATTTTCACCTTTTTTCAAAGTTTTCATGTATGACCCATTCTTTTATTTTTAAAAAGTATTTAACAAAGGGCTGAGAATTTAGCTCACTGGCACCTTGCCTGCCTTACATGCGCAAGGTCCTGAGTTCGATCCCCAGTACCAAAAAGTTTTTAATAAATTTGTTTGACTAGGTAAGTTGTTTTTTTTTTTTGGTACTGGGGATCGAACTCGGGTCCTTCCACTTGTGCAGCAGGCAGTGAAACCACTGAGCTAAATTCCCGGCCTTTGACTAGATAAGTTTTAATAGATTTCTATACATGTCACATACTGCTACCAGGATCATCTATGTTAATTACACAAACATTAAGAAATACATATTAAGCAAAAAATTTAAATGGCCCCAAATTCTATTAAACACTATATATGCATAAGTATACATACATTTTTAAAAAATGGAATTGGTTCCTCTAAGCCATATGTTACAAATATCCTTTCATGTAAATACATATAGGTCACCATTTTAAATTGTAAAATAGGCAAAACAACTATTTTAAAATTTTTTGAGTGCACAGGTGAGTGGTGTTAGGGAGTGAGTGACTGCACGTGCAATCCCTGCCATCCATCTCTACAACTTTCATAATTTCTCAAATTGAAATTCTGTACTCGTTAATAGCATCTTTTTTTCATGGTACGGGAGATCGAACTCAGGAGCTTGTGCTTGCGAGGCAGGCTTCGGCACCACTGAGGTAAGGCCCAATAGCATAATTTTTAATGGCTGTGGGGTTATATATAATAGGATTTCCTTCAGAAATCTCTTTTTTAGGGCCGGGGATTTAGCTCAGTGGTTTCTCCGCCTGCTGCGCAAGCGTAAGGACCCGAGTTTGATCCCCCGTACCAAAAAAAAGAAAAAAAAGAAATCTCTTTTTCACACGAAAACAGTTAATTTTATATAAACTCAAGTTCTTTGTCTCACGAAACAATAAAATCGCAGACCAAGTGTTTATTGGAAACGAGGGGGAAAAAATCCCATCCTGGATGCCCATCATGAGGGGTTTCTGGAAATGGAAATGCCCGATTATCTTTTTTTGTTTCTTGTGTTTGGCCTTATATAGAGAGAAGCAACGTGTGGGAGGCTTCGTAGAGTTTTGGTCAAAAAAAATTATTTAGCTGGTTCAAAAGAAAGGAAACCGGGTTACTTTGCATTTCTGTTTTTCCGAAGTCCAGCCTGGAGGTGAGGGAGGGGGTGTTAGCATACTCCGCCTAAGGTCTCTAATGGGAGGAAAGGACCTTAGTCCACACTTTTTGTTTTTGGTACCGGAGATCGAACTCGGGACCTTGCGTTTGCGAAGCAAGCGGCGGAACCGCTGAGCTAAATCCCTGGCCCTCCACTCTTTTAACTTGTCTTGTGTTTACTTTTGTGTTTCTAAGCTTAACTAAAATTACCTTTTAACTCGAGTTGTGTGCTGTTTTCTTTGCATTTAGCTTTCTAAGTACAGCACCTTAGATTTCTTTCGCTTTCTACTATATCATTAGATTTCTTTCAGTTTCTACTATAAATATCCTTTATCACAATGCTGCATCAAGATCTCTTGTGCATATATTATTTCCACACAATTCCTAGAAATGGGACGAGCTCAGGCCCATGGAAGGAATTCGTATAGACACCAGGTATGCTGTAGAGAACCCGGCTCTGGACGTCCGCAGTGCGAGTCGCCTTTCCTTTTGCAGTGCCTTCCCCCGTCCCTCGTCCCCAGAGTACTGCGGAGGATTGAACTCAGTACCTTGCGCTTGCCAGGCAGGAGCGGCGCCGCTGAGGTAAATTCCCAGCCCCTCCTTTTGCTATTTGCAGCCTGACGTTGTGCGGCATTGGAATGGAACCTAGGTCTCGCACAGGCTCCCCTTATTTTCCTACTGCTTGGGCTTTTTGTACAGATTCGGCTTTCTAAGCCAGGTGTGCGGGCCGTCCAGACTCCGGCCACCCGGGCTCCCGGTTCCGACGCTGGTCATCGTCCTGGCGGGCGGGGCTGAGTCCGCGCGCCACGCTCGGCAAACCACCGCTCTGCAGTCCACTGAGCTCTCACTATTTCTCTCCAGGTTCCTGGCAGCAGCCACCACCATACCAGATCTGCACGCTAGGGCGCTAACAGGCTCCGACGCCAGGGTCAGATGACCTGAGTTAGCTCATCTCTGCGCGCCACCGGCCGCTTCCGGTACGCTGGCGCATGCGCGGGCCGGGCCACCAGGTAAACTCGCGGGGCGGGGGCGGCGCGGCCGGAGGCCCGGGGGCCGGTGGTTTTCGCTAGGAGCCTGCGGCCCTGCGGGACTTTGCCGTACCCCGCGGCTCCCCACGCCAGGCCGCGCTGACCCCGTTAGGATCCGACGACCCTCCATGGCCGGCACAGCGGGTTCCTCGTGGGCCTTGTTGCGCTCAGGCTCTGGTGGCCGGCAGTGTGGTGTGCAGCGAGACCTATGCTGTTCTTCTTTTTTTTCTTAATACTGTTCTTATTTACAAAGCAAAATGTGGCCGTTTATTTAGTGTTTTGTCTCCACCCTTTGCCCTTACTATAGAATCTGAAGGCTAAGTAAGCATGCAGAATAGTTAAGTAATTATCTTAATGTTTCTTGTGCTTTATTCGAAAAAGTGGGGTTGTAATCTAGATTGTATTTAGTGACACTAATCTTTTTCTTGCTTTTGTTCCATTTTTCTGTTTTTAAAAACTGTAAGTATAGAGTAGCTTTTCCTATCTATGTTAGAAATCCTGTGTTTAACAATACCCACATTTCTCAACTGGCTGCTGGTAATTCTGTGGTAAACATAGATATGCCAGATTGTTTTTCATAAAGGCTGCGTTTTACATTCCCACTAGAAATGTATGAGGACTACAGTTTCTTTTCTTCCTCACAAATACTCCTTGTTAGCAGATTTTCCCTTCTGGTACTGGGGATTTATTCAGAGTTACATCACCACCCCCTTTTTAAAATGTTTTTATTTTGAGACTAGGTCTCACTGAGTTGCTTAATTGTCCAAGCTGGGCTGGAATTTGTGATCCTTCTGCCTTAGCCTACCAGAGTACTGGGATTACAAGTGTCTGCCATCATGCACAGCTTTCCTAGCCCGTTTAAAATTTTATTTTGAGGCAGAGTCTCATTAGGTTGCCTAGTCTGGGGTTGTATTTACAGTTCTCCTGCCTCAGTCTCCTGAGTAGCTGGAATTACAGGAGTGCAGTATAATGTCCAGCTTCGTTATGCTTTTGATTTGCATTTGGCTTGATGGCTAATGAAATTGAGCATCTTTTCATATGCCTATTGGCCATCCATGTGTCTTCTTTGGAGAAATCTCTATTCAAATCCTTTGCCCATTTTTAAGGCAAGTTATGTTTTTGTTGTTGAAAGGTAGTATTATCGAGTTATTCATCAAACATCCAAATGGAGATGTCAAGGAAAGTGCACCTTCTTCGAGAGGCTGGGAGTGGAGCTGTACTTCCAGGGTCTGTCAGCAGGTGGAGATGGAAGTCCTGAGTCTCCTGATGTCAACCCCAGGAGTGAGTGAAGCAGTCTGAGGCTGAGCATGGGCTCATCCAGAGTCAGAGAAAGGAGGAGGATCACCAGGGAGCTCAGCTTCCCAGACACGGAGGAAGGGCAGTGCTCCAAGGAGGAGGGGGGGCTGTACCACACTGACTACTGCTGAGGGGTTAAATGACTGGGACTGTGTGTGCAGCAAAGGTCACTGTGGTGACCTTGGTGTGGTGGGCTTGGGAGGAGCAGCAGTGAATTGGAGAGGAGAGCTGTGGAGAACACAGCTTGGGCGCTCAGGTGATGTTGGCTGGAATGGGAAGAAAAGATGGGCTCCATCTGGAGGGCAAGTGGGGTGAAGAGGCAGTGTTCTGGACAGTGGAAGAAGTTGATGCAGTCGTAACTTGGAAGGAGAGACCAGGCCAGGAACAGGCAAGAAGGGCAGGGCCTTGTGCGTGCTGGTTTAGTTTCCTGAGTAGGACCACAGTGAGGTAGTTTCTTGAGCAGGAGCCTGAGAGAAGGTAGAGTATTCAGGAACTTGGGGCAGTGTCTGGGGAACTTGGGGATGTACTCCCTGATTGCTTCTGTGGTGGTTCAGGAAAACAGGAAACAAGATCATGAACTGAGAGCAAAGGTGGGGGAAGAAATGAGGGAAATATTAAGATAGGGTGACCCAGTCTTACCAACTTAAAGCCTCTGAGGACAAACCTGTCAGGCTTATGGACCCATTGCAGTGAAAGGTACAGTATGCCAGTGGGACTTGGGTGTCACAAAGGGAAAGAAAGTTACAAAATTTGGGGGATGGAAAGTGTTATGGCTTGTGTCTGGATGTCCCCTCGAAGCCTCGTGTCGTCATAGATGGGGCCCTTTGGAGGTGGCTGGATCTAGGGTTTGTGCTGTGGGGATCAAGGACATTATAGTGGAATTAATTCACAATGTGATGCTAGGATTAAGGCTGTGAATGCTACCTGTCCTCAGGGCAAGTAGCCTGGGTAAGATATAAGGGATAGAAAGCTGTGGTCTTGCTTGTCACTTGCTTGCTTTTGCTGTCTTCTGCCTGCCATGAACTGTTTCTCCCCTGCATTGCCCCTCTGCCATGCCACCCTGCCTTGGAACCAGCCAATTATGGACTAAAACCTCTACAAACTGTGAGATAAATAAACCTTTCCTTCTTTAACTTTGAGTGTTAGCAACAAGAAAAAGTAACCAAGACAGAAAGTTTAGATGAAGTAGTGGTTTTGATGGGCTCAAAGCAAAGCAGGGTTGTTCATAAAGGAGTCAAGATCATGTCTGGATTGTGAAGTAGACCCCAGGTCCCTGTCCTTGGAGGCTGTAAGGTTAACATACATGTGCAGTATTATCTCCAGAAAATCAGTCTGAAGCTTTGCTGGTTTGGAAACTGGAGTCAAGTCTCTGAGAAGAGTGACTTAGTTCCTCTGGAGAAGACTGGGATTTTCCATTCTTTTGTTTGTAGTACCTGGGATTGGACCCAGGGCCTTTGCACTCAGCTACATCCCCAGCACATTTTTTTTGAGACAGTCTTGTTATGCAGTTTAGGCTGACCTTGAACTCACTGTGTAGCTCAGGCTGGCCTTGAACTCATGGCAATCCTCCTGTCCTGAGTGCTGGGATTACAGGTGTGAGTTACCACACTCAGCTGATTTTTCATTCTTTTTTTTTTTCCCTTAAATTCTTTTATTGGTACAGTTTAGGTATACAATACGTTTATATTTATCGTTGGGTGCTTGTACCTGTACGTGTTGTATCTTGGTTCATATTTTTTCCCCATTACCTGTGTGCCCTTCCCTATTTACATAGACTTCGTTTCATTTTTTTCTTTTCTCATAATTTTTCCTTTCCCTTTCCCCTCCCGCCACCCCTATCCCTTTGGACCTTTTCTTCCTATTTCAAATTATCAATTATTCATTTTAATCCTTTTAATCCTTAACTACACTATCAGTTTCTCACAGTAGAGAAACTCTTTGGTATTTACACATATGTGTCCTATTTATTTCACTTAAGAGTATGGCCTCCATATGCCTCTGTTTAGCTATAAATGTCTAGTTTCTCATTCTTTATGGCTGAGTAGTACTCGATTTTATAAAAAAACCCACATCTTTATCCAGCTTCCAGTTGATGAGGACTTGGGCTGCTTCCAAGCTTTAGCTATTACAAACATGGGTGCACATATATCGCTGTGGTATGATTCTTTTAATTCTTTTGGGAAGATACCCAGCAGAGGAATAGCTGGGTCAAATGGGACCTCTAGTCCTAGTTCTTTGAGGTATCTCCAAACTGACTTCCACAGTGGTTACAGCAGTCTGCACTCCCACCAGCAATGGAGAAGGGTACCTTTCTTCCCACACCCCTGCCAGCATTTGTTATTGGTTGCTTTCATGAGAGCAGCCATTCTTTCTGGGGTGAGGTAGAATTTCAGCATTGTTTTCATCTGCACCTCTCAAATGACCTGTGATGTTGAACATTTTTTCATATATTTATTTGCTACTTCTTTGAGAAATGTCTGTTCATTTCAGATGCCCATTTTTGAATTGGATCTTTGAATTTGGGGGGTCTGATTTTTTTCAATTCTTTATATATTCTAGATAGTAGTTTTTGTCTAAGGTACAGGTGCTAATTTTTTTTCCCCACATTGTAGGTTGTCTCTTGGCTCTGTTGGTGGTTTCTCTTGCAGTGCAAAAGCTTTCTAATAAGATGAGATCCCAGTTGTTGATTCTTTATACTAGTTCCCATGCTACAGAAGTTTTATTCATAAAGTCTTTTCCTATGCCAATGTCTTCAAGAGTTCTACCTAACTTATCGTCCAGCAACTTTAGTGTTTCTGTCTTTAATATTTAGATCTTTAATCCACTTTGATCTTAGTTTAGCGCATGGTGATAGGTATGGGTCTAGTTTTAATCTTTGGCAGGTTGAAATCCAGTTTTTCCAACACCATTTATTAAATAGGCTATCTTTCCTC